TGCAATCAGACTCGACTTATTCACTCTTTTCATGCACGTGAACAGCAACACACAACTGGCGACATGCGCCCACACGGTACACAGAGATATGTCTTCCAGGTRAGTTCACTTCCACTGGCTATGGCGACTAAGCGCCCAAACAACTCACTGTTCACACTCTGGATCACCCTGGATGTCCCACACGCAACCCTCTGTAACCACACGCACCACACATACACACTACTATAGCTATGACAGCGCTAGCTGCCACTACCCTATCGCTACACTACACTTCTCTGCCCACTTGGGCACACTGCAGACCTCCTCGCACAAGCTGCTGAGGCAGCGCTTCCTTATGGCATCCGCAGGAATGAATGAATGGCTGGACGCAGCCTCTTGATTTATACTTCTGCGCTGCGTTGGTCTGCCCCGTATCCCTTGGCCCACGAGGTGCACAGTCCCAGACGGTACTTGCTTGACTGGACCGGACTGGACTAACTGGGACTGCTGACCGGACTAGGTGGACTACCACCACTTGACCACTTGCCTCTGCTGAATGCAGGCTAACTCCGAAAGGCCACTTCTAGAAACGTCTGACTTGGCCTTTCGGTGCTGTAGCAGCTACGACTTTGCCCCTTCAGGTAAGTAGCAGCTACGACCTTGACCCTTCAGACATCCTACAGCTACAACTTCGGAACTGTCTAGACTCCTACCCTACAAGTCTACAGTTCGATTCCCTTCTAAGCTGTGACCTACGACAATCTACCTACCACTGGCGTTTCGACAGGTCGCAGGTTCAAATCTACGGGTTGACATCAGTACTGTACACAGGTAAGATGGGGAACTAGGGATCGAGCCCTGGGATCTGCATTCGCTACTGCGAACTGGTGAATACCGTTTCAAATTTGCTTGCAAAAGTAATATGTCTTGCCGCTTGTGCACCATTGCAAACTGCAATACAACCAACTTTTCCCAGATATTGTGAATGACAGTCGGAAAAAAAAAAAAAAAAAAAAAAAGAAGAAGAAGAAGAATGACAGTCAACGCTGTAGACATCAAGACAATTGAAACTCAATAATTTATTAATTTCAGTTTGAAAATTGGAAGACAATTATTATCGGCAATCCTAAATGCGAAAAGTTGAAAATGTGTTTTCAACTTTTTGCATTCAGGAATGAAAATTGAAATACAGTTGGTACACCCAGAGCCTAGCTCAGTTGGTACACCCATGAACTGTTGACAATTGAAATACAGACCTGAGTTCGAATCCAGATGATGATGGAACCAGATGAGTAAAACAAACTACTAATGAATCGCCTGGGGACAGTCAGCTCAATGATAACACCTCAAGGTTATCGCCCTTTTTTTTTTTTTTTTTTTTTTAAACTGTGGTTAGGGCGTCGTTCGACACTCCTCAGGGCATCCTCGGGCTCCGAGGATGAATCCTCAGAAAAGTTTAGGTTTTTTGTCTTCGTTCCACTCATCCTCGGAGCATCTGTTTTAGGACTCATCCTCGGAGCAATGTCAGAAAAAAAAAAGGAAAAAAAAAAGAAAAAAAGTTGTGCTTCAGGCTTGCAGCCAATAGGGTGCCGCCACGATCAGGATTCTCGGTTGTAACGTCTCTCTACGTGCATGCCCTCTCCTCTCCGTGAAACACGTATCCTCGGGCTCCGAAGGACCTCGCGAGGTCCTTCGAGTTCGAGGACGATTTGGCTGGGAAATCCTCGGAGCCCGAGGATTTGTCCTTGGAGTGTTTTCACATTTTCATTTCCGATTTCATCTCCGAGGACAGGTGGAACGACGACGGAATCCTTGGAATCGCGTCCCCGAGGAGTGTCTAACAACGCCCTTAGACAGAGCACATGGAAGCTGTAATTCACAAGACTTAAAAGCAGTATCTATGGGTGGGAGTTGGCGCCCTGACCGGTTTCGACGGCCGCCACACCGTCTCATCAGGGGGGAAATTCCTCCTCACAGCATCCTCAAACCTCCGATCCTCTGGGGAAAAAAAAAAAAAAAAAAAAAAAAAAGGATCCACCAAGTCCTAACTGTTATACCGCGTTCCACGCGGGGACGCAGCCATTCGGGCAGCATGTGTCATGTTCCAGACAGTAAGCTTGTTAATGGTCTTCTCAAGTGGGGGACGGTCAGCCTTCTGGATTTGGCAGGCTAGGGCCAGAAGTTGTGGTGGCCCTGACGTTGCATATGTTAGACCTTGGCCAGGGGGCCAGGCGATTAGACACTGCCTGTGATACCTAGAATTGCATTCCTCATACTTAGAAGTGCATTCCTCATATCGGGTTGCAATAGCATGTTAATACCACCACGCGACCTTTAACGAGACGGGGGTCGGGGAACCAACGACCGGTAATGAAAAATAAAAGGGGTAACTTCAGTAGAGTCACAAAAACGAGTTATAACTGCAGTATGGGGCAAGATACAGTTTGCAATTGCACTTCGGGCACCCTACCTGGCCAGAAAGCTGGTTTGTATGCATTGCCCCAACTGCAATTGCAAACTATATCTTGGCCCATACTGCAATTATAACTCGTTTTTCTGACTCCCGCGTAGTCTCCCCAAAATAAAAATAAATCGAATGTTGAAAAAAGAAAAACGAAAGGGGACAACGGGGGCAGCAGGGCGAGCGAGAGACAGAGAGAGAGAGAGAGAGAGAGAGAGAGAGAGAGAGAGAGAGAGAGAGAGAGAGAGAGAGAGAGCCGGCCCG